CAACGCAAAACATATCAAACAGCAAATGAGCACAACTGCCCAAAATAACGAAAACGTGCGGGCGAAGCACACTTGGGCGAAAGTGCCAGCGTGTAAAACATTCCGGGGAAATATACAATGCAGCAAAAAAAGAGCAAAAAAGAGCGACTTGCTGGAAAACACTTTTGGATTTGCTACTTTCAACATTTGGTTGCTAAAACCTATACCAGGGATTGCTAGGTTGTAAATGTGGTTGCTACTTTGTAACTGAGAAAGCAGCACATACAAAAGAGCAAAAAAGTGAGACCGTCAGAAATTATAGCATTTGGCAAATCCGCAATATTAGCAAAAAGTTGCGATTGCCGGATTGTATTACACCGGCTGGCTCAAGCTTTGTTGGGTTGGATTAATGGGGTTTCCTGGGTTTTCGCCGTCTCCCCCCCGAGTGGTCGCATTGTCGACAGCATAGTCGTCATACACCAACATCACCTGGCATCTGATAAAACTCCTGGGGCTCCCAGGACGACACTATAACTGTGGGAGTAGTCTCAGGACTAAAGGCTTATGCTCGAGGCTTCTTATTACGATTATCCATTTGTCGACGATTGCGAAGTAAAAATCAGTCCTCATCCGATGAGGTCTATAGTTGCATTAGGGTAGACTGCTTGCCTGAAATGGAGACCTTTCCAGCCGATAGGGCAGAGTTTGCAGTACGATTATCGCCGTTGAGGATGATGTTGGAGAATTGTTGACCAGTGTCAAGCTTATAGGACACGAGTGTAGATAGTGCATTGTAAGCCGTGGTTAGTTCCTTGACGTTAATTTGCAGTGCACGTTCTTGGTGGGTCCATCGCCATTGCTTCCTGAGAACCTGCTTGCCGTTTTGGGTAGCCACCATAGAACCTAGTAAGTGACTTACTGTAAGTCGGAGGAGTCGAACCAAACATGAGTATTTGCATCGATATGTCGGTATGTTTCGACTTGGTTGGAACCTCATTCCAGGCGGTCGGTTTGGTCTACACGCCCGTTTCTGTATTCCAAATGCTCAAGGGAAGTATCATAGTTTTCTCTGCAGCTCTGTCTGTGATATTTCTAAAACGCAAGATGTACAGAAATCACTGGGGTGGTGTAATTATTTGTGTTATCGCCCTTAGCCTGGTCGGGTCCTCCTCGATTTTCTCGAGAGACTCCCAAGCGGTGAGCTTTTCTGCTGGTGAAGTTATTACCGGTATTTGCTTTATCATTGGCAGCCAAGTTGTGTGTGCTTCCCAATACGTCGTAGAGGAATTCCTTTTGAAGGGCGGTGCCGTACCACCCCTCGCTCTAGTAGGCATTGAAGGTATCTGGGGCCTCCTTGTAATGGCATGTATAGTACTACCAGTGATGCAACATGTACCGGGCAAAGACGT